CTGGTTGTCGGTGGTGGAAACTTTCCATGCGTGCGAGTAGGGGCACACAAACAAATCTGTGTTTGCACACATGGATGTTCTTATGCATCCAACGGAAATACAACTTGGCAGCTGTCATAAAACACCGCAGAAACAATTGGCAGTTGCAGGCAAAACAAATGACACATCCAAGGGCTAATAATGAGAATCATATAGGGGACCATACCCTTAAAAAGTAATATTGAGCGGGTATATAACTTGTGGTAAGGACTGGTGGAAATGGGGTGGTAACTTTGTATTGGTGCAGTTGCCAAAAGCACAGCTGGCAGGAGTACGCATCTGTGTTATTTGGGCAAAACCAGAAGGTGATTCAGACAGCAACAGTTGCCAAAGAAAGAAAGAAGGATGTTTCTCCAAGATTCTGTGGCTATTTTTATGGATGACAAAGTTGTTCCTGCGCTCCTAAAATGCAGACTAATAAAAGCAATTGTTTTACACTATGTACTGTGTTAGAATATAGTTATCCTTAAAGGGATTTTATTGCTCTTTTTTTTTTTTCAGTCACAAAGATTTCATGTGAAAAATTTTGTTCCTCCTATATTTTACTTGAAAGAAAAAGGAGCTTTAAAAACCACGCCAAGTGTTCAAGGAGATTTTTCTTCTTGCCTCTCTGACTGCCAATTCCAGATATTTGTTCTTCAGACATTTTCATTGTTCTCTACCATGCCAATTTCTTATTAGATGAAACAGGAATTAACCCATTTTGCCAAATTTAGACAGAACGTGGATCTGAAAATATGGATGTTCATTGCCTTTACTCTCTTGTACAAATGTGTAAATATTCAAACCTTATATACAGTATCCACAGGGGCTCTAACTTGAACAACATGTGCTTTTCTATTCTTAAAGCTCTTTATTATGTGTGATTACTTTTAAGCTTAATGATTTCATTTAGTAATTATTTATCAACGTTTTTCAAGTGTAAACTTTATCTCTTCTGCCAAGTTGGTAGTCGTAAACCCAAGAGATCATAAACTCTTACCTAGCTGCATAAATACCTGTATATCTCCCTTCAAAAATAGTGCTATGATCATTGAAAGCATAAAATATTACTTGTTTGACTCTTCAAATGAGTAGTATGTAAATTTAATGTAACTATTTGTGTTTAATATAGCATATTCATGTCTATAATATCTTAATAATCACATACTAAAATGGATCTATTAAAAAATGTACATGAGCAGGGTTGATTCCCAATTCTTGTAATCCTTCCTAACTCTATCAGTATCTGATTCTGAAGACAAGCAAACTTACCAGCAAGTTCAACAGGAGTTTCCCTCCTGCTCTAACTCTGGTGTCCCAGTCCTGCTCCAGATAGGCATTATGCCAGGATGTGAAGCTGACTGCAGTGGTGATGCTTATGAATGATCATCCCCATCCCTAGGCAAGAGCTTTATATCCAACTTCAATTATTGCACCACTCGGTAGTATTAATATAGTTAAACCTGAGATTTTTCAGGATCCTAGCACAGATGTGGCAAACTTATTGACTTTCCTTTTCAGTGACTTTATCAGTTCTGTTTTCTCTACACTTCAGAGTCCAGACCAGTATTTCCTGTGGACATCCCATCTGTAGGCTGTCTTCCGAGTTTGTCAGCAATATGTAGGTGACATACATCAGGTTCTCTATAGATTTAAGCACCACCGATCCCTTCGTGTGTGTGAGCAAGGTCTTCACTGTTCAGAAATCCAGCTGAAGTTTCCATCACTGCAGTGAATAATAATAGGTTTTAGTATTCAAAGAATTAGTTTCATTTCCAGGATGCTCTACAAATGGTACCTGTGCATCCTCTCAGTGCTCATGTGATGTATGAAAGCATTTCATTTTCAATTGAATGTAAGGGGGCAGAGAAAGCAAACCTGGTCCTGGTTAAAATCTATCTATGCTTTCATTAGTCTTGCCGTTGACCTTAGTGGAGTTTGGATTAGTGCCTGCAAGATATGGAATTAGATTTCAAGAATTATTGACTCAGTCCTCTTCAATATACCTCAGCACAGTCACCTTCTGGAGGCATCAAGTCCCAGTGCACCTAGAAGGACATTTCGGGAGTGTTGGCCCCCACCACTCTGCTTGTCCTGTTGTAGATTGATTCCAGTTGTAAAAAAAACCTGATGACAAAGCCATATACTTATTTAGCATGGGCAAAGTTACATACAAAGTCACATTTCCTTGCATGTGGCAAGAATTAGTGGCAAATAATTTTTTTCCACTTAAATCACAAACCTGCCTTGATGAAACCTAAAAGCTCTTCCTCTCATCTCCCTTTTGAGGCCACACTAGCAGTGTTTGTGGACATGAATTTCCTTGCTGCCATCTCCCTTTGATTTGTTTTTCTCTGTATCTTCACTACTGCCAAAGGAATATTCAGAAAGCTCTACCTTATTGGAACCTGCCATTTTCCTCTGAGTGAGAGCATGTGTCTGCAGTTTGGTCAAGAGTTTGCCATTGTTTCAGTTCACTACTCTTGTAACGAAATTGAAACATACCTGGTAGTTGTCTTCGAGAGAGAAAGGCAGTGATTAAAAACAATATGGTAGCAGTCACCAGATGACGATGTATTTCCTTGGCTGTCATGTAGGACCTGAAAGATGCATACAGGACAGGAAGAACTTGTCCTTTGGTCCGTCCTCTTGTACATCCTTACCTGCTCCATCCTTGCCTCGGAATGCTGTTGGTCTACTACGGATATTGGATATAACATGAAATTTTAATGTAGCTGATCCTACATTTATCCGAAGAGAATGCTGTTGGTCTACTATGGATATTGGATATAACGTGAAATTTCATACCTGTCTAGTACGGTAGCTGATCCTACATTTATCCGAAGGGAAGGATGAGATGCCTCCCTCTGAGTCTTTCCACTCAGTTTTCCCTGATCCTAGGAGAAGTTTGGTATGGCACTGTGCCTTGAGTGTTGTTGTGGTGCTCTGCTTTGTGTGCTATGGAGCTCTGTGGGCTGCTTTAGCAGCGGGTAGTAATGATGGACTTCCACCCATAGCAGGAGAGTGGTGCACAGGATGGGCTGCTGTGACTGTCAGAAGTCTGACTTTTTAAAATGAGATCAACAAATTAGCATAGCCTAAGGACTTCTTTGAATAGTTTGTTGCCCTTTCACCTCTGACTTTATCTCCCAGCATTCACTAGTCATGAATATTTAATATGACCACCACTGCATCCTGTGGAATAAATGACAGGCTCCAAGTTTCAAAGCTTAATATGAAAAGCAATGCATATACATCAGTCTTGAAAAAAAAGCATCGCACCCAGAGCGAATTCTTCTTCATAAACCCACTTATTAAAAAAAAGTAATGTAATATCATGAGTTTTCATTAATACTAGTCTTCAATAAGCCTAAAGCAAATCCTTCCTTGCTGTGCGCTTGCTACGCTTGTTGTATGGAACTGCCTGAAAGTGATGAAGGCTCACGGTAGGTTCATGGAGAGCAGGGAGCGTGCGGGCAAGACATATACAAGCTCTATTGGAGTAGAGGTTCCCAATCCTCGGTTGTCTTTCCCAGAAAAGATGATTATGGATGTTTCACAGGAATCATAATGCTAATTTTCAGCCCTCATAGAGTGCTCTACACCTGCAAAGTGCTATTAAAATGTGAGCTAATCCTCACCAGTAAGTGAGTATTATTGTACCTGTTTTGTAGATGCAGAAATTCAGATACAGAAAGGTCAGTGAGCTGAGCCAGGGTCACATAGCTTCTCAGCAGCAGATTTAAGATGAAAAAACTGGCCTCTCTGGTCATATTGCATTGATCATGATGCCTTGTAGAAAATGTAGTTCAAATTTCCTGACTATATATATTAAAAAAAAAAAAAATCCCAGAGAAGGAGTTATTTCCTTTTTGCCTCAAAACAAACAAGCTCCCGAGTTACCAAACCTCGTGTTTACATGTATCATTAAATATTTTCCAGTTGCTAGCCAGAAAACTCAGCAGAAAACCTGCAGAACACCAAAGTAACTCTCTTCTTTTAAATAATTGATGATGCCAAATAGCAGCAATGTTATGCCAACAAAGACATCAGTCTCTCCAAATATTTTATTCATTATGCCTCAAGAAACCCAAAGACTTGTTTTTAACGAAAGCAAATTTCAGAAGTTGGCTCTCAGTTCATCTGAAACATCTGCTTATTACAATTCCTGGTGTTACAGTACTGGTGCTCCTTGGTAAATCTTTCAGCTTTGAATAATACGTATGGAAGTCTTGGCAAAGAGATCAGGAGGGAAAAAGAATAATGTTTGCCAAACATACATTTTAAGTTATGGGGCTGTAGTGGTATATTTTAATAATACATGTGTTGAAGAGAATCTACTAATCGGATAAATAACAGGACGAGAAGGATTTCATTCCAAGGTTCAAATAGACCTCATTCTACACACCAGAAACTTTATATTCTAGGATAAAATGGTTAGAAGTCTGGGCTAACTACACTTCTATAAAACAGCCAGTAATGGATCTTTCTCTGTAGTGTTCATAAATCAAGGTCACTTATGTGAGAAAGCTATGTTGTCATAAATCTGTCTGACAATTAGATGGAGAGGGCATATCGATGTTAAATTACATTCTTTGTACACTCTGGTCAGAAGGCAATGTCAACACCACAGTAGCATTATGAAACAGAAATTCCAAATTAGATATTCATCGTGCATGGTTTTACACTTTAATATACTGTGTTTTACTCAGTCATATTAATATTTTAAATTATGTAACATTCCCTTCTTTATACATAGCTTATTTTTTTCCCTGAAAATGCACCTCCCTCACCCTCATCCTTTCCCTCACTGCCTCTCCTCCCTGTTGCTCTGTCTTTTCCCTTTTTCCCTTCTCCTTCTTTTTAACAGTGATGCTTGGGGGGAAAAAAAAAGCCTAAAGCAAATCTGTCTATGCAAGGAAATAGTAACAAGTGGTTTCAAGATTTATAAGCCAGGATTTCATGTTATATATTTACAGATTCAATCTGTGTACCAGGCTTTGATCCAAGCCTTAGCATGATGACTGGAATTACTCCGATTAACCCAATGATACCAGGCATGGGGTTAGTGCCGCCACCACCACCAACAGATGTGCCTGTAGTCAAAGAAATAATTCACTGCAAAAGCTGCACACTCTTCCCTCCAAACCCAAGTAAGTGGATCTGATGAAAGGATGTTGTTTTCCTAAACATATTGCATGAAACATTTTTAATCAATTTTTATCTAATTACACAGTGTGTACAAAAAAGAAAAATAACAACTTAAACAAAGCTAACAGAGCCTGAATACCTGCACTACTCATGGTAGAAAATGGTCTTTCCTTTAGAATGTCACAAAATATAACAATTATACACTGCTGATCATCTCTGTGCTCCTTCAGGTGCCTGCAGTTAGATGGGACCGCTCTGGGCTTGTGTCCCTGAATACAGCACCTTGCACCCAAATGCTGACTAACTCTGGTCCTTATGTGGGGGAGATAGAGGGAAAGGGGGATTATGTCTCGCCTCTTGATATTTTTTTGTGAACACCATGTGAATGAGTTGTTGTCTTCCTCGAGAGCCATCTTTTTTCTGCCCCTCCTGCAACTGGGCAAGTGGAAAAGTCTTCTGACTGAGCCACCAGTTCAGGCACAAAGCCTGATTTTGTGCATGTTAGAGCCAGGAGTTCAGTTTCAGAGCCATCAGACCAGCAGTTTCACTATGACTGTGAAAACAAAAAAAATTAAGCAAAGAGTCTGGTGCTCTGGATTGGCAGTGACCTCAGATCATGTTTTAATCAAACTGGCTGTGTGTGTTAATACGTATAAATACATATATTTTAAAGTTCTGACCCCATTTACTCTGTTAAAGGGCCAAAAATCTAAGTCATAGGAATCAGATTTCTTCTTAGACAATTCCTCCTTACTTTTAGAGGAATACACTCGTAACCTACAAATAAAAAAGTTGAAGTGTTATAGCAGTGTATATTTTTTACTCAGCCTTCAAAATCTACGAATTTTCATTATTTAAGGGTGTATATATTATATATGTATATATAGACACACACAAAAATAACATTTCTAGCCACTCCACTTCATGAGCACTTGTAAACAGCGAGGTTATCCTGCCCGTGTGCTGGCGTCTGCTCCATTATCTGGCAACAAGACAAAACAGATAACTGGCAGAGCGTTTTCATCATGCTGTCACTTCGTTGTGTTTCCCACTTTGTTTTTCTGTTTGCCGTGCTCTTGTACTCTGAGACAGAAACGAAATTATGCTGAGACCAGGGAAAGGTGTCCGCCCAGACCAGGTGCCCGGGGTGTATGCAGCGTGGGCTGGCTTGCAGAGGGCCCACGCACTTGGCGAGTGTGGCAAGTGATGGGTATGAGCCAGAGATGGTGAAGTTCAGGCTTTGAATGTACTGCACCAGTGCTTGAGATCTGTTCTTGGGTTCAAATGAGTTGCAGAAGCTCCCCTACTTTGAAATAGAATATTTTCTGGTTTTTGTATGACTGTGCAGGGAAAAAAAAGATACTTTTAGACCTTACCGTCTGTCCTGGAGAACAACCTGCAGTGACAGGAATTAATTTCTGAAACACCACCTAAAACTTGAAAAGGTTTAGGTTCAAGTAATCAATTTTGGACAATCTCTGCAATATTCAATTAGTTTGCTTCTCCCTCTCTCCCGCCTCCATGCTATGTCGAATAAGTGTTGCTGCCCAGAACTGATTAGGGGAATGAATATAGCCAATGGATCAAAAGAAAAATTTTGTATTCCAATGTGATTTCTGTTTTGACTTAGATCTTCCACCACCTTCAACAAGAGAGAGACCTCCTGGGTGTAAAACAGTGTTTGTTGGAGGATTACCGGAAAACGCAACGGAGGAAATTATTCAGGAAGTCTTTGAGCAGTGTGGAGATATCACAGCAATTCGGAAAAGCAAGAAGAATTTTTGTCACATTCGTTTTGCGGAGGAGTTTATGGTTGATAAAGCCATTTACCTTTCTGGTACTTCACATTCTTTAATGGATTTTCCTTGCTTCTCATTTATATTTTGTGATGCTAATGTTTGCTTATTTTCTTAGCTTTTATCTCAGCGAGTCTTTCTTGAGCTTAGTGGCTGTAAGTTGGAGTGGCAAGGGGCAATTCTGTATTTCTCTGTGTCTGCCAATACTTGTGCATGGTTTTTGTGTGTTGCTTACCCGGGAGCAATTTCCTGCCATCCCACAACAATGCAACAGATCCTGAAATTCACTACAGAACAATCTTATTTTCGATTTACACAGGTTTATATAGTTTTGCTCACAGGTTGTGGAAAGAGGAGGGCACTAGGCCAGGAATGCTGCTGTTTTCCCGTGCCAATTTCTCTGATAGGCTGGCAATTTCATTGGCATATTTTTATAGATTTGCAGTGCAGTTGGAATAAAGGCTGCTTTTATGTGTGCATGTATTCAGCTACCGCATGGGTTAGATTCTGAGCCCCATCCGTAGGCTACGTCTGTTGCCTTCCAGGACAACAAGTGCCACAGAAACTCAGGTATAAAATTTCAGAATCTCATTTATTTTCCAACAAAGTAACAGGAGAAAAAAAAAAAAAAAGAAGAACAAAGATGAAAAAAAAATCTGCTTTTTTATATCAGGCTTCAGCGACTGTCAGTGGCCTCTTAAGGTTACAGGCTCCTTCATATGAGGATTGGCTTCCTGTCTGAGCCTTCCTTCACCTTCCTGAGATGGATCCCATCCCCAGTATGTATTAGTCACCACAGGCTGGTTCATCTTTATTTTTAGGTCTATTTTTAGGTCCTGGGGAGATCCTTAAGCTTTGTTTTGTTGTGGAACACTTTCACCCCACATGCAAGGTATTCTTAAAGAAACAAGCACCAGGGACTGCAGCCAGGGCCAAGACCATCTGACACAGGCTGGCTTTCAGCCACCCACCATACGTATGGTGACCTCAGGGGGTCACGCTGGGACCACCCAAAATGGGATTTAGGGAGGCAGATAACAGGGGAGCTTCTTTGAATTCTCATCCTGACCATCTCTTGTTTAACAGTAAGGAAATAACCCCAGTGTCCCATAGGTGTCCATAGGAAGCTCAAACGGCTTAAAAAAAGTGGTTCTCAAATCACCATCAACTACATCTTTAAATTAATGTAAGAAAGATAAGAAAAGAGCGTCCAACTTTTGTGGTCAGGAAAAACATAGGTTCTGTGTTTCACAAAGGTTTTTGTGCTTGGATTCTGTGGTGGTGTTTTTTTTTAGTTTGTTTATTTGTTTCTGGTTTGGCTGCTTGCTTTAAATGAGCTACAGAAAAATGTGAGGTTTATGAATTCTATATAAAGATTTTTTGAAATATTACTGTATTTCAGGTTTCTTCCAAATCTTCATTCCACCCTGTTTTTTCTTCCTTTTTTGGTTTATTTTCACTTCGTTTCTTCCTCCCTCCTCATCGTCTCTTCCCATTTTTTCCATCCTTACTGTTTATTTGTTTATTCACTTACTAGTTGCATAATACTGTAGTTCTTCGAGCTAGATTACACATATCACAGTAGTAAAAAGCAGTAATACATTTCCCAGCTTCCAACCTCTGCCTTGGGGACCTCATCTCCACAAGTAATGGAGCAGAGGAGGGGTACACCAGGTTCAGTAGGAGCTGGGATTACTGTATATGATGAACAAAACAGTGTCAAGAAAGAGAGCAAAGAAAAGCTCAGAAACGTACCGGCTGCCACCCTGGCAGTGTCCCTCTAGCTCAGTTTCCTGCTTCTCAGCAGCTGACCTGCACCCTTTGCTTCATTCAAAGTCAAGTTTTATTTTAATTTTCTGTGTGTTAAATCCTGGAGCATCAGATTTGGTGATTAGTAGGAAATTCCCTGTACTGCCATGCATCCTCATTCATAGCTCACTAGAGTTCAGAATAAGGGAAATGAGCAGAGATGGAGGTGGCAGATTCCCTTCCTTGTCCTTCTTCATCCTGAATTTTCTGCCAGTATTTTCCAAGTTCCTGAGCCATCCTTCCTTCTTCTGTTTCCTTCTATCACAGTTGCACTGCTCTCTGCACTTCCTCTTGCCGTCTGTTCCATGCTCTCTCCACAGCCTCCCTTCCAATCTGTCTTGTCCTCCATACCTTTTCTTTCTTCTCAAGTACTGTACTTGGTGTCTCTGACCAGATCAGGAAAAAAAAACAGTGGAACTGATAGAGAGGAGGAAGAAAATCAGGGGCATGCTGCAGCCAAGTTTTGCTTCTTCTTGATACCAACTCTGAAATTTGCAGGTGGAACCAGGAGCACTGACTGTCCCCCAGCACTGCAGAGCAGGGAAGTCTAGCAATGGGCAGGCACATGTTTTGTTTGAACTGAAATACAAGGGGTTTTTAACCAGTCTTTATTCCATTCTCAATCACCATGTATTCTGAAATGGTGGGGATAAAGCATATTTTAAGGCATTTTCTTTTCCCTTTAAGAGACAAAAGAAATGTACAAGTGGAATTTGTGGTTAATATAGTTTGTGTGATATATTAGGGGAGAATCATGCCTTTGATATCTGTAATATAATTATAATTTTGTCTACCTAATCAGTTTTATCTGTCTACCCCATCTAATCTCATCAAACTTCTTATTTTACCCGTGCTTATCATCTGAATTGTGCAAGTGATTACAAAATCCATCAAGTAGTTTAATCACTGATGTTTTTCTTTTCTATTCCCAAGTAAACATGTATGAAAAGGAGACTGGGAGATGGGTAGAAGACTATAATCAAAAACTTGACTTGAGGAAGGCAGGTTTTCATTTAGGCCTGAAAGTTACATTTTGATCTGAGGAATAGACTTTCTAAAATCGACAAACCAGCCCATGAGAAAGCTCTTTCTTCAAACTGTATGTACTTTACTCTTGCAGCTGACAATTCAGTAATTCCTGCAAATATTGATGGCCCTGGACTTGAAAATATGGGACAAACAGGTGACTTGAGACAGACCTGTTTATACCCAAAAGCCTGTTTATACATTTTTTCTGTGATGATACTTTCCCTGGTGGGTTTCTATTTAGTACTGTGTACTGGTTTTATTTTATGTTCTCGCTGATCATCATCAACACTCTGATCTAGATCCCCAGTTAGAAAGCAGCTGTTGGCCAAACTCCAATATAGCAACACTCAAAGGTAAGTCAAGCCATGGAGTTTTGACTAGATGTGTGATATGGAAATTCTGTGTTTGATTTTTATTTAGCACCCTCATTAATTTTTCCTGTTGCTGCTCCTTTAAAGTGAGGATCCTGGCAAGTTCCCAAAGTCTTTTCCTCTGCCATTGTGTGGGAAACTAAAATTAAAAATGACAAGCTAAGCATGCAGTGAGTGCTAGCTGCAGTTCTGAGCAAAGAGTTGGGGAAAAGATTCTCTCATACATTTAAATACCCTTGAACATCCATGAGGAGACATGGTATTGGAAAAGAGTGAACCTTCCAGGTGCACCTCAGCTCAGAGCTGCCATTCCAAATGGGTGCCTGAGGATCCCATATACAAAATAGGTCCTGCCAGTTGTGCACCTCTTGCCACACAGCATCTTGCTGGCTATCAACCTGCCGAGCAGTCTGTTCTTCACTGACCAGGCCACTGGTCCTGTGCTGTCCCCGAAGCCTGATTTAGGTGGTTGTAAGAAGCCATGACAAAGGAATTTTCTTTTTTTGTTAAGGGAAGATGCTGAGCCTGAGCAACCTGACTTTGAAGTTGACCCTGCTCTGAGGGAGGGATTGGACTAGATGATATCCAAGGTCCCTTCTGAGCCAGGATATTCTAAGTTTCTGTTCTCATTGAAACCACCTGGCTGGCTGGCTACCTTCAGTCTTAAGAGTTAGACAAGCAGTGAGAATTTTTTTCAGTGTGATTCTTGAGCAATATCAAAAATCTGTTAATTTGGAGGCACTTAAACTGGCTACTTCAAGGGAACCATTTGTCCAGTGCTACACAGGGTACTGGGTTTTGGACTACAATTTACACTATTCAGTGGTTTTGTCCATTATCCCCATTGATTTAAAAAATAAGAGCTACTTTGGTGAAACTCAGCTTTGCTGGTGCACACGTAACCTGTAGATGCACATCTCTTTTCATTAGCTCTTTATTCAGATTAAGTGGGGCTTTGCGGTCCATAAGAGTCTTGTGTCCTGCGGTGCTGTGTTTCTCGATCTGTCCATGCCCAGTGTGTTCCTGCCAATGGAGACAAAAGACAGGGGAGAGACTGAAGAGAGACTGTGTCTTCCTGGAAGGTACAGCTCAGCTGGGAGATCTAATTTTAGATTCACGAGACCAGGCACCTTGGCAATGTCCTTTCACATTGCTGATAATGCCATTTTGGCACAGAGCAATCACTGTTTGAGGAATGCAGCTGGCTAGTCAAACTTGGGAGGGGTTAATATTTATTACCGTTATCGGGGGAGCTGCACCACTGACCCCTTTTGGCTGGCCCCTTCATGCCTACACCTCTGTGTAATTACCCGCTTGTTAGTTCAGGGCCCAGATCTGAAAGGTCACCCACACTCTTCTGCTATAATGTGTCACCGAATATGGTATATCTATAATTCTTCCCTTCAACACCTTGTGACTGGAGCTACATATATGACCACAAACAGCCTTCTGGGGTAAAAAATAGTGTTTACTCCTCTGAGCAACAGAAAGCAGGGCAAAGGGTTTTTAAAATAGCAAACAATCCCTGCAATTGTCTCTCTTGTGTTATTCAGTTCCACTTCACCACAAGCTTATGAACCTTGGAGACCAGATTTGGTAGGTTCCATGGAAGTTCTTGATGCCTTCTAGCTTTGAGGAACCTCTGAGATACTTAGCTCAAGTTTTTTGTCTGGGTTTGGACTCCTTGCTGGAAAATGAAAGTCATATCTCTTCCTCACAGACAGGCTACTTAGCTAAACTCCACAAGATGTTTGAAAGGAAAATGTCAGATTAAAAGGTATCTGAATTGGGTTTTTTTTGAAGGATCACTACATGTATGGATATTTAATAACTTTGAAGCTATTGTCTCATATCAAATATGTCATATATGGAAGCCAACCATATCCTGGGCTGAATCAGAAGTGTGGCCAGGAGGTCGAGGGAGGTGATTCTCTCCCTCTATTCTCCTCTCTTGAGACCCCACCTGCAGTGCTGTGTCCAGCTGTGGAACCCTCAACAGCAGACAGATATAGACGGGTGTTAGCAAGTCCAGAGGAGTCCACAAAGATGATCAGAGGGCTGGAGCACCTCTCCTGTGGGGACAGGCTGAGAGAGTTGGGCTTGTTCAGCCTGGAGAAGAAAAGGCTCCGGGGAGACCTTATAGCACCTTCCAGTACCTGAAGGGGCTACAAGGAAGCTGGGGGGGACTTTTTACAAGAGTCCATAGTGACAGGACAAGGGGTAACAGGTTTAAATTGAAAGTGGGGAGGGTTAGATTAGATATCAGGAAGAAGTTCTTCACTGAGAGGGCGGTGAGACACTGGAACAGGTTGCCCAGAGAAGCTGTGGATGCCCCATCCCTGGGAGGGTTCAAGGCCAGGCTGGACGAGGCTTTGAGCAACCTGGTCTAGTGGAAGGTGTCCCTGCCCATGGCAGGGGGGTTGGAACTGGATGATCTTTAAGGTCCCTCCCAACCCAAACCATTCTTTGATTGTATGATTCTACGTGCAGACAGCCCCTTGTATTCAGACAGCAGGATGTTTTTCCAGCAATAAACCAAACAGAGTGTGCTTAGATAAACATTTTTGCAAAGATGCTCCCAATCTACTGCACAAGTCTTAGCTCTGCTGTCCCTGGAGTGAGTTCAAAACTGAGTTTTGACTGTGGTATTGAGGGGATGAAGCTCTTCACACCACAGGCAAGCCATGAGACTGAAAGGTGGGTCCTCTTGGATTGCTGTTCAAGAGCAGCGAACACCATTTTTCCTGCCATTTTGAATGGAAGCTTTCTGCCCCTGGAGTTATTATGCACTGTTTGTAGCAGTGTGTGTTTTTGAAGAGCCTCGTATATGCCACTTGAGCAGAGAGTTCATCTCCACATCATCCTGTGATTTGAGAAATCTCTGCTGGGCTGCTCTGCTTCTGAGGCTGCTGCAGTGGGATAGCATGGATAAATAAGACCTGGCCCTGCACAGACTGATTAATTTTACCTGCATCTGAAGGCTCTGTTTTCAGCTTTCTACATAGTGTTTCCTCACACTGTGTCTGAATCAGCATTTTTAAAGTTAAAGGAACTGCTCTGCGAGTATCAGCCTTGGAAATAAAACTTGAAAAATGATAGGTGCCCAGCATATGTTCTTCCACTGTATGGTCACAAAGCTCCTTTTATAGCTTAGGCATAATTTGTTTGTCCTCTGACAGCAGCCAAAGGTTTTAGGACAGAGCAAGGCCCTGTTGTACCACTGCAGAGACCTTGACTTAAAGCCTTTGCAGTCTGCTGGCTTTAGCATGTGATACATGGACCAAATTTTGAATATGTCTTAGAACATGGCTAAAGATGAGGCACAACAGGTTTCATTATTTGTTCGGAAAGGGTCTTGCAAACATCTAATAAATCCATCTACACTTTTAGAATTACTTTAAAGAATACTGATCTCAATTAATTTGTAGGTGATTTATATTTGTCGCCACATTATTTCCAATGGGGAACTGGGGAAGAAGTGTTTGCAATTGTAAAGCCTCAAAATTTGAGACCTAGCATCAATGCAGGTATGATACCACCCTCTCTGTGGCCTGGGAATTTATGTAGCACAATATTCTCAATTATCTATAGTCATGATTATTATAAAATTCAGCCTTTCCCCATACTTCAAATCCTTTGATAGGCTGGAGAAGGTCACTAAAATGCACATGATCTCAACAGTATCAGGGGAAGAAGGACTCTACATTCAACCCAAAACGGATCCATTTTCAGTAGTTTTTTTTTGTTTAGCAGGCCTTTGCACTTATAAAAGTTGGGAGTATGAGGTAGAAAAGTGACATATATTTAGAAATTCCCAAGCAGGAATATAGATTCTATACCTTTGGGTCGCTTTTGCAGCTCATCTACTATGTTGATAGGTGATGCAGAAAATTGCAAGGAAAAATGAGTGGATGAATGTTTATCTTCCCATGAAAGCACATTGACTGATAGATCCTGTGTAGATATGTGGGAATCTGTTAATGTACTCTTTTACTTAACTGCACTTGAGGGGGAAAGAAAAAGGAAAGAAAAAAATAAGCAAAGAAGTCCTGCAACAGTTAGTTCTGCTTGTTGGTTTCAGGTTACCGCATGAGATTAGGATCTAGCACAGACAAAAAGGATTCAGGTCGCCTTCATGTTGATTTTGCTCAGGCAAGAGATGACTTTTATGAATGGGAATGCAAACAAAGAATGCTGGCCCGAGAAGAACGCCACAGACGCAAAATGGAAGAAGACAGACTGCGCCCTCCTTCTCCTCCGGCAATAATGCATTATTCTGAACACGAAGCTGCTTTGCTGGCTGAAAAATTGAAAGGTAAGCAGCATTTGATACTTTTCAGTATATTATTCCTTAAGAGCAGGAGCCATCCGGAAATCAGAGCAGGGGAACGGATTTCTCTCTGATGTATTTCATTACTTGCCCTGTTAGCTTTCCCCCATTCCTTTGCCATTTCTATGCCAATGGTAATGATACTCACCTGCTAGAAATGTATAATGTCTGTCCATTTACTTGTGCTTCAACAGCTCAAACACAACCTTCAGAATACTACAGTGGGGTGTTGGTTTTGGGATTTTTGTTGTTGTTGTTCAGTTGCTGTCATCATCTAAGTTGGAAATGCTCTCATAATCAGATAACCTGTTACAAACATCTTTCATATTAAAGATCTGATTGTTTAAATGTCTTTATTCCTAGACTGATATGTTGCTACATTACATGCATGTGACTGTCCCAATTCTTATAATTTAAACTGCCCTCATGACCTGCATTTAACTTGCCTCCCAGGTACAGTGGTACAACTTATCTCTGACACACACCACCTATTCTTTAATTCCCTCTTTAGGGTTAGAATTTCTTGTGCAAGATTGTGTATTGTTTTAGTATGCATTTGCTTGCTTGTTAGTTTTTCTCTAGGTACCTTTACCAAGTTAATATTTTTCAAGAGTGCAGCTTGAGGATTCCTGTCTTTAGTAGTTAACATAGAAATTATAAAGCAAAGAAATAAAATCATTCCTGGTAAAGACATTAAAAAAAAAGATCAAGCAAACAACTCTTCACCCCCATGGAGTTATATTTGTTTTCATTAAATGTTTACCAATTGTGTTTGGCATTCTTTCCACACATGGTGGCCAAGCACATTACCTTACTCTGTGCCAGGTCACAAGAAAATGTGATTCTTGCTACTGTTTCAGAATTACACAGATTAGACTTAGGCTATCTAGCTGTCAACACACTGGCCTCTGTTCTCACTATGAAACATATTTGGGTAGCTGGAGAAGGACAGTGCAAAGTGTGGCATCCTTGGAGCATGGAGCAGAGATGCACCCTACTGTCTCTTTGGGTACTGCATTGGTCACTGTTGTCACTGTTACCTTGGTCTGATATTAGTTTGACTGATATTCTCACCACATAAACTCCTCTATTAAATTCATTAGGTAATATCAAACTCCTTTAAGTAATTGGAATATTGGTAAAATAACCCAGAGATACTGATAGACCAGGAGAAAAGGAGGAAAGAGGCCCAAATATAAGAATTTTTAATTCTTTCCTAGCTTCCAGTCCAGCTCTCTAGAGGTTATGCAATAAAATACAGAGTTTTACATCCATCTGTTCCCAGAATCTGTTTTCAATTGAATATTTTAAGAGTTAATCTTTTATAGGGAAGTTTTTCTTTATGTATTAAGGCCTAGAGGTTTCCTGAACTAAGCCAGAAAATGCAAGAAGTCTGGACAATTTCTTCCATATGGCTAGCCATTACCAGGGGCAACTGAATGTGGGTTTTTGCAAGATGTTTTAAGATGTCTATATTTAGAAGGGTTTTTCTTTTCATTCTGGAAAGTTTCCATACTTAATTAAAACTTATTCCAGTATTTAGATCTTTGGTTCTCCTGAGGGACGTTTGACCGAAGCTTGGCATATATGCACAAGCTTAATATAAAAATATTTTGAGCACTATATAGACAAACACCATACACATGACTATTTCTCTGGAAATAAAGATGAACTTTCAGAAACATACAGAATTAAACATAATAAATTAAGAAACCAAAAAGGTGAGTTTATTTTTATTGGTTAAAAAATCATTAAAATCCAGCAAAAGAACATATTGCAATTTTAAAAACTTCTTTAATTAACAATTGACTTGCAGCAAGATTAATGGCACCAGCCCTGAATCTGTATAGATTGTTGGGGTTGGAGAATGCAAAGAAGCCCCCTCTCTTCTCACTGGTCGTGAGTTGTCTCCTGTACCAGGCCCTCTAGAAAGCAGTAGTGGGGTTCAGTCATTATACTGGTCTGCTTTACCTTTCCTATGGCATCATAGCCAGTATCTATAAGGTAGTGGGTAGAACATTATGGCCTTCCTTGGGCAACATGGATTCACCACATCAACTCTTTATGACATTCTAAAAACAGAAGTAAAGCAACACTAAAAAGAAGTCTTTAACTTTGGCAAAGGACAGTTAATGTCATCTTACATTCAGAATTTAAATGTGAACTTCAGTGAAGCTAACAGAAGATATATATGCACACACACACACATATATATAAACTCGAGGTCAAAATCTCAGATCTCTGGATATCACCAGATTTCCATTGCTGCAAAAGCTTGGAAAATTCATCCTAAAGAAAAGAGGAATCAAAATATACCTGCTCTTGGCAGGATTTGCCTTGAAAGATTGGGTTTTGAGCAGATGCCTTGCAGTTATTATCTTAAGGAAAGTCATGACCTCCCAGCGGTACCCACTTCAAAAGACTCCTGAGCTGAGTTGCCAGCTCATGAGACAGAGCTGCAGGTGCCCAACATGCAGGTTTCAGCTCCTGCAGTGCCTCCAGAACTTCGCTGAGCAACACTAGCTGAAAAGCAAGCCAAAATGGCTAAACATCTGTCATCTCAAGATACTGCTTTGCAATCACAGATGTAGACAACTTGGTCTGAATCCAAGCCACTTGTGTTGTCAAAATAACCTTGGAAATTCCTGACAGCCAGTCAAATCTGATGGTGAGCAGAGATGAACTAGGCTCATCAGCCAGTCCCCTGTTGCAGTCTAGATATTTATTGAGTCTATAACAGAGGTGACAACATCTTTTTTCACCTTCTGCAAACTGCAGCATAAGACTTAAAGAAATCATTGGTTTTGTGCATCAGACTTGGCTGGAAACTCTCCCCTCAGTGTTGTCAGCATATTCCTATTCCGCTGATGTGCTGAAGTCACCTGGCACAGCAGTAACTGCCACAGAGGAGAGTGGGTGAGAGACTACAGAGGATCTTTCATGCTGGTTGGAAACAAAAGTTTATTATAAAATTTCAGCTGGGTAATATTTACTGGTGTGGAGCTTGGTAGAAGAAAATAACTGGTTTCTCAGGATGGACTGCCTGGTGACTGGGACTGGGAACTAAAATACCTCTGTTGCATATGAAGCCTTGCATACCTGCAAAGGATGAGGGTTTATGACAGTCTCCATTCCCTGCTCTCTGTAGACTAGCCCGGATCTCTTCGTATCTGTAAAGAACTTGGTTTGAACGCTTACTTTATGCAGAAATAAAGAAAACCCATCAAACTGTGGACCCGTGCAGTTCTTCACCACATCCAATTTTAGACTGTGGCAGACTGTGCTGTTTTATGAGTATTTTTGTTTCTCTCTCTCTCTCTCTTCCCCTGACCCCCCACCCCCCTCTTTTTTCTTTTTCTCCCTCTTTTTCTTTTTTTCTTCTACTAAGCTCTTCAGCATCATGCAAATTAAATCCTTCATAACTTCTTCCTTGTTGGCAGTGCGGACCTTCACCTTCCATGTTGTTAGCCAAGAGTGTATTCACTTTTCTTTAAGTGACTGTGATGTTTTTCCTCTCCCTGTCCACCTATCATGTTTTGCTGTTGTCACTTTTCACTATGTGACAGTGACATATTGCTGGTACCTTGGGTGTAGGTCTCATGGCTTTGAGCCTGTAGCTCTAAAAATATAAGCCTACGCTACTACCTGTCATTGATTAAACATTTTTTGAGCTGGTCTGCATTGATAATTTGCTAGTGACATTGTCTGCTGGTCACAGCCAGAGCCAAAGAGGGTGAAGCCAAGGAGATGATAGTTCATAAAAGGGGAGTTTACTGCATTGAAAAGGTGACTTGCCAAAAAATGTCTTATTTAAATTTGTTTCATGCACTTCCATATCATGTTCACAAGCCTCCTTCATGAGTCCAAGACTTAGAAGGCAGAGGAAAACTGAGCCTGGACTATGAGAACGGAACAAGTTCCAGCATTCAAACTAGATGGCTAACATGGGGAAGAACATGAGCTCCTTCTCATACTGGGGCTATGACGATCACTTTTACGTTTGTACCACACATTTTACTTTGCAAGGTGGTTGGGAAAATAAAACCTCTATTTAATTTTGGATGACAAGTTATTTTTGTTTGGGGTTTTTTTGACCTTCCAAACAACTAAAGGAGATTTGAAGAGAAAAGGCAAAATAAAAAATAAGCAGCATTTGTTTAAAATGGTAAAATCATTTCACTTTTTCAAAAGGTACTCTTTGAATCTACTTTTTGATTCAAATATTCCAGAATTTGTCATGACATCTCAAGTAGTTTCATCAAGCCATTGTCTGATTTCCATGGAATAAGATAACAGCTAAGCATAACTCTGGCTAATGAAACTTCTGGCCTCTTCTGACATCCTCCTGCCTTAGGTAAAAATCTATTATTTCCTTGAAGAAATATCTCAATAGATTCATAGATAGGACTTCTGGGAAACCAGGGTCTGTTACAGTGAAGTGTATATGTGAATTGCCTCCTTAAATAGCCTTTGGGAATAGACCCTGAGTTCTTGTTCTGACAAACCCAGCAGATTATTGTGTCTTCTACTGTTAGTTTACAAAAACGTGACCTTCTTGTCTTCTGGTTCATTGCAGCAGTTTGTTTGGTGTGTCTGAGATTTTAATTCCTCTGTATTAAATCAGATGTGTTCTTACTGCACAGTGAGATGTGTCGGTAGATATTTGCGATCACATTTGCATACTCTGACGTCTGTTTTCCTGGGTATTTTATAAATGGTTGAGTAATGTGTTGCCCAGAGCATCACACAACTGGAGACAGGCTGAAACTTTCCTTCTTAAGTGGAACACTGCTCTGCCAGGTGCACTGGAACAAAACATTTTAATCTGTGTGCTTATGACATTTGTGTTTCAAAGCAGAATTTCGAACACTATGGTATTCTTAATTCAAGCATATCTGTACCTAATGGTATCATCTTCAGAAATCACTTCTTGCAAATAAGCTCCTTTAAAATACTACATCTGTCTTATTTCCTGCAGGTAGTTA